GAACCGGAGTTTTAACTTCAAGAGAAAATCTATTTTTTCTTTTAATTTTTTAACTTTACGCTTTGTTCAGTGCCAATAGAGTGTCACAATTAAATAAAGTTTAAATTTACCATAATTTTTTTACCCTTGCAGAGGTTATAATAATTTCAGTCAAAAGTTTGCAACGCAGTGAAGGAGACATTTCCGACCCTATAAAGCATATATATTCTTGATCAGCATCACCAGGAGAGTTGATCTAGCCATGTCCGTCTGTCCGTCCATCTGTCCGTCCGTCCGTTTCTACGCAAACTAGTCCCTCAGTATTAAAGCTTGAAACTTTCCCAAAAGTTGTCTTTCTTTGCAGGTAGTATATAAGTCGGAACGTGCCGGATCGGGTGACTATATCATATAGCTGCCATATAACTGAACGACCGGAAAAGCCATAACTTTGGTGTTTTTAAAGTTAGGAAGTTGGGATTTTCTATGGTTTTTATTTTTGGCCAATCAATCCGACCTACCAAATTTCATAAGGATCGGCCGACTATATCTTATAGCTCCCATATAACGGAACGATTGGAAATGTCATAACTTTGGTGTTTTTAAAGTTAGGGAGTTGGGACTTTCTATGAGTATTAAGAATGCATCTTATGAATATTCTGCAAGGGTATATCAACTTTGGCTCCGTCCGAAGTTAGCTTTCCTTTCTTGTTTTTTAATAGGAAATATCATGCCTGTTTATTCAGTTTAAAATTTTTGTATATCTGCAAGGGTATAAAAAGTTCGGCCCGTTTCTTTTGACTTTTCGACTGAATCCATATATTTCGCACATTAATTTCTCCCTCTTCGGAGACTCGTCTTGCTGTTCTCTGCCTTTTGTTGGCGTTTCTTCTCTTTCGATTCGGGTCTCACTGCCCTTACTTTTTGAGTGTATTTTTCCGTGTTTTTAGGTATTTTACTTTCATTGTCTTTACCGTAATCCAGACAAGTTTCATGTATTTTTGGCAAACTTACCGTACCAGTATTATGTAAGCAAAACTCTCAATTTCAATGGTTTCTCCTCGATTCAGAATGCTAAAAGTAGAGGCGCAAAAACCTCAATACCTAATAAACCCCTGACATCGGTAAACTATGCGTCCGGAATAATGTACATATTTGTGCATTTAAATGTCATTAAGGCAGTGCGCGACCGCGAGTGAAACTTTCATCAAAAGTGTCAGCAAGCTGATCAGCTTTAGTTCGGTTTGACCTCCCCATCGAGCAACCAAACAAATTATGTACATACATACATACATATGAACATGTGTGAATAAATCGGAGGCCTGATCTGGAGTCAGGTGGGAGCGGTCTGTTATTCACTTGCGCTTTCGGTTCAATATTACCGACCATGCTTCTGGCGATCCAACAAGTGATCGAGGGGCCGCCACCTTTGTTTGCTTTTTGAGGAGGTCGGAATTCGAAATATCTTACTACGTTTTGGATCGAAATTTCCAGCATATGTATGTATGGTTTGCTACAAAGTTTGCCCTGCAATTTCTTGCCTTTGCAAGGGCGAAAGCACCTTAAAAATATGTTTGTGAACTTTAATTTTATATGTAATAAAATTGGTATATTGTAAGAGGAAGCTTTTCTTGCTGATCCAGAAGCTTAAGATGGCCGATATTATAACATGAATACAGACGAAGTTAGTTTTTAAAGTTTTTTATAGCAGCTTCCCTAAGTACTTATATTTTATAATACAAGCAGACGAAATTCAATTAAACTTTACTTGATTGTTTATAATGTCTTTATTAGACATGGTATTGTTATAGTTATACGTATGAACATACGAGTATTTCGTATAATTATCGACAGCGGCGGGCAGTTGTTGGTCAGGTGTTTCATGGATCGCCACTGTCTCCTCAAATTGTGTACACAAGCGTGTCCATAAATTTATGTGGAGGTATACAGACGTGTGCCCCTTTCATTCATAAATTCGAAACTTTGAATTAATTTGTTGTGTTCCACATATGCGAGTCATGTGGGAGGGATTTGTGGGCATGGATCATCGTTTGCCCAAGCAATCAGCGTTATCTGGCGCTAATCAGATGCGCCCACAAAGGTCATACATGTAGAGTCCACCGATATATTCATAATATATCAAAGTGTTTTTGGTAGCTGCGCAACTTGACCATGAAATCCATTTCGGACTACGTGTTGCTATTTCCGTTTTGTAAGCGAGTTAATTTGCGTTGTTTTTAAGCTGTGATTGCTGTAATTTCACCGCAATCTACAAGACTGTCAATAGCAGTATCTGACTTTGACCCGATTAGAGTACGTAATATGTTTACTTTTCGGGCCACTTATTTACATATGAAATATCGAACGGTGTAATGAGTGTTGAATATATCTTAATTCTACAGTGCCAGCTTTTTGCTCGGAAGAGTGCACACTCAATTATGTTAATATTTTTATGAATAAATAATTCATTCATGCCATTTTTTAGTTATGGGTATAAACCATATCTAATTGCTTAACAATATATATTTTTGGAACCGCTAAAGTAAACGGCGTTGGTGTTTTTTAATAAGTCAGTGTATTGAGCATGCACTGTATTAATGGTATCTCAGCGAATGCTTAAAAACTTAACCTTTGCTGGGGATGTTTTTTTTTGTCACTAATTACTTTGTTCAAAGATGTGTATTGTAAACAGACAATCACTCGACCGACACGTGCCGGACATTGAACCTCGCGAATTTATAGAATAGCAACGACGAATGGCAAACCGCGCAGCCCCGCCCACATTACGCCCCAAGGCCGGCTTGTGAGGAACTGATGGCCGACAAAGGGTCAAATTTGCATTTGACTGCGAGAGAACAGAAACCGAATGAAAAGAAAGTAGCCGGCGCGAGCCGAGAATATAAAAGCGTATTTCCAGTTGGCCAAGTTTTGGGCCAGACTGGCTGGTCGACTGACCAGTCCAGAAATTAGGCCTCTAGCATGCAGGTAACGGTTCCGAGGCTGCCAACTAGCCTGGAGCCGTTCTCTCCCCTGCGTCGATTGGGGTTTTTCCCGTTTCCCGTTCAGTTGCCCGGGGATTTCTGCGCACTTGTTGCATGCGGCACAGTTTCGCAAGAGGCCAGGGCTTCCGATTGAGTGGTCTGTTCGGCCAGGTGTCAGCACGGCTGACATGTCTGCCAACCGACGAACCAACTAACCAACTAACCAACCCCGTTGACAAGGGTGGCCCACTAAAAGCACACCCGCTAACACAGATTGCCGGCCCGGAAAGCGAAAGTGGCTTTGGCGGCGCTCTAATGGCCCACAGCCAACTGGCCAACTAGCCAGCTAGCCAAATCCAATGCATGGATGGAAATGGCCAACGAGCTGTCGCGTCAATCGCTGTTACATCAGCCAGCCAACTGTTGCCGCAGAAGATGGCGACTTGCCACGGAAAGCTGGAAAGCAGAAAACAAAAAACCCGCTTCAATCTCCCTGCATGCTTTTCTTTCGTTCTCTGCTTCCACTCACACACAGCAAAGGATATCAAATCAGTGAAGGGTTTTTCATGGGGCAAAGGGAAAGTTTTAAGGTGTCTGCCCTTGTAAAAATGTAAGCCTATAGCAGAAACTAGAAGGTAACAATGATGTTATGATATGATAATGATATCCCACTCTTTTTTTTATGAATGATTAAAATCAAATAAATACATATAACTTTAATTTATTATTTAATCGGATTTATAATAACTTTTTCGACACTATCATGTAATTTTTAAATTAATTGCAATAATTTTTACATTTTCAAATCATCCAAAATAATCCAGAAATTATTGAAATTATGAGTCTATCGCACTGTGACATATTTCATTAAATAGATTATTAATCCACCCTTAAACCACCAGGCAAATAAATACGTAAAAGAATTTTCGGAAAAGTTTGGTCATTTTATATATGGTTTTGTATAACCTCCAGGCAAGTTTTTTTTAAATTTGGGCTATGGCCATTGCAATTAAAAAGTTATGTAGCTACCGATCCAAATAAATTCGTGCGGATCAACATTTTTTTTAATTTCAGTTTAACTGATGTCAGTCTAGATCATGCAAGGTAAATAACTGTAATTTTTACATGCAACTAATTGCTGACATGGAAAAAAAACTATATTCTACAGTACCAGAAAATCATTTTTGAACGAATTCATCATACCCTAATGTTAACGAAGTGACTTCATTTCTGAATAAATTTCCTAAGAAATGGTGCCGATTTTAGTAAAGACTTTCAAACTAAACGTAAATTATAACATGGTTTTCTTTTTAGATTATAGGATCAAACTTAAACCATTTGTAATGGCCATTTATTTATTTGTGATTTCTCGAGTGACTTCTGTCACATAGCTTTCTGTGGCTATATCTTCCGCTGGTCGAGTGTCGACAATGGTGATCTTCACGTTTACAATCACTTCTTGGGCAGTGTAAGATCCTCCGCTTACTTCAGAGCTCTATTCTCTTACTGCTTATATATGTGGATGCGGTGGCCTGCATGGCGCTAGTTTCTTTACCGACGCTGTGCATAAATACATAATTTGCAATGTAAGCGCGACTCGGCAACAAACATGAGCCGAGACGAAGCCCGGTCCGGCCAGGCCATCTTTGATCGGCGTCGTGGAGCGCTGAGCTCCGGCTGCGGCTGCGACTGCGTCAGTTGTATTTCTGGCACGCTGGCCAACGGTTCACGTAGCGGCTTGTGTCTGCCTCTGGGCTCTCGACCACTCTCGCGCCGCTTCTGACATTGTGGATTGGTGATAAGCCCTGCCCGAAGTGAATTGTGCACCGATACTGGACACCCGATACCCGTACCCATACCCATACCCATACCCGATACTCGATACCCAGTAGGTACTTGGCGTGATTCACAGTTAAGCCGCATAATCGTTTTACTCGTGCGCGCACTGATCGATTCAACTTCGTCGAGTCGCCGACGCTCCACTACCACCACTACCACCACCAGCACCGCCACCACCACCGCCGCCTGATAAGGTTCAGACGCACATCCGACCAGCCGTCAGTTGGCTTAAAAGCGTGCAAGGCGGAGCATCGCGTAAACGGAACAGCCGATCAGACTCTGTTGCCAAATATCCGATTAGCCAAGAAGGCCAGAGCCCATGCTGATTGACCAAGTGAGTGTCCGAGTGTGTGTGCTCGTGTGTGGCCTTGCCGAGTGACTGTGACTGTGACTGTGTCTATGGTTGTGCCTATGCCTGTGCCTGTGATTAGATAACAAACACCTTCCTAATTAGAAACCCAAGCAGCAAGTGTCGGAGCAAAAGCCAGCATTACAGCGCCGGAATAAAAGCGAAACTCTAATCAAAACCAAAATAAATGAATATGAAAGACAAGAGATAGCAAAGTTAAACAGTGACAAAAAAGGAGGCGGGTGCGTGGCCCAAACTAATGAACTTCGGTCTTAGCTAACCGCTACACATTGTGCAATCGCCACAAGTGCGCCTCGAAACGTGACGGGACTTCCACAAAGTTAAACACACAGGTTGATGGCGAGCCTGCGAATCAAGAGCTGAATCACTTTTTCTGACGGAAGTACTTCGACCGGCTTATCGCCGAATCCAATTAGCCGATCGCTCAGTTGAATCTGGCTAAAATGATAAGAGGCCGGCTATCATTATGGGCTCACTTCAAAGAAATTTGCCTCAATCTTGCCGTAGATTAACACCCTGGCTTGTGACTCACTTATCGGTGAGACTTTTGCAACTTATCACTCAGGAGTGCGTCATCCGCGCTTCCGTCGAGGAGCTCTTGGCCCGCTCGCATTGCCGCTCCTGGCGCATCGATTTTCCACTTAATTAAGTTTTCTAAGTGAGCGATTGCCACGGAGAACCCGGCCATCACCGTATAATCTACATACACAACGCCCCCGGGGTGAACGGCGATAAAATCGGCAAACTCATCAAACTATTTACGCCGTTTCTGTTGTTCTGTTCCGCAGTTGCTGCAGAGCTTGGGGCGCTGGTTCGGGGGCGGAGCCGGTCTAATTGATTTCGAAAATGCAGGCTGCTGCAGAGCCGAGCCGAGTAAACAATAGCGTGCAGGCACCTAGCACCTAGCCCCTGGCCCCTATCACCCAGCACCCAAACACCCAGCACCCAAACACCCAGCACCCAAACACCAAAGCCCCCAAAGCTCGGGCCCAACCCCCGACTGTGAAGCCAATTTGATAGCACGGGGGGAGGGGGCTGAGCAACAGGCGGCTCTCGATAGCTGGGCTATTTGCTTGGCACAAAACCTGGGCGACAGTCGGCCAGGGGCGTGTGTCCAAACACAAGTGCCCGCCTTGTTTGTCTGCCGACTTGGGCTTCCCGGTATCTGGCATCTTCTGGGCCCTCCGCCCCCGCTTACGTAAGTGAGGGCGACGCCGCCTCCTCTTTCGAGGTAGGTGGCTGGGTGGCTGGCCCATCCCTCGGCGGAAGCGTCATCGCTTGCAGACGTTTCATAATTTATGCAAATCAAACAGCGAAATCGCAAGTTAACCGCCCGCCGTTTCATAGTCTCATAGTCGCATAGTCTCGCAGTCGCATCGTCGCACCTCGCGGATGCTGTGCCTCCGGGCGAGGCCGACTCGCAAAGCGTGCCACTGACCCACACAGCGAACAGCACCAGCAAAAGCGACAGCAACAACCACTCTCCAATTGCGACAGCCGCGAATTTCGCGCTGGCTGAGGCAACGGCAGCGCAATAAAAGCGGCACATTTTGTCAACGGTTATTGAGCCAGTTGCTTAACTCTTACGTATCCATCGGCATCGTCATCACCATCACCATTACCATAGCCATCGCCATCACCATCACCATCGCCATGGCCAGTTTATTGTTCATGACATTCAAAAACAACCTGAATTGGCCGCAACTTGCCCGTACAAAAACCTTTGGGTAGTGATGGGAGGTATGTGGGAAGTTGTATCTTGGTTCAAAACTAGCCACATACATAGCCATATACTTTTTACTCAGACAAGATAGTGGTTTACCTTACCAGTTGGAAAAGTAGTTGATTATACTCGCTGATTACCTATCAAAGTTTGTCGTTTGACTCACTTTTCTTTGTCAACAAAAATATTAATAGCTAAGTTATTTGTCGATTTAAGGCCTGACTTTATGACAAGCCAAGGGTATGTTTTAATAAGCGAAATTCCATAAGATTTCTCATCTTAATACCTGCTGTTCGTTTAGCATGAACATGAGGAAATGGGTCTTAATCACTTTTAGCCTGTAATTGTAAAGCTGTAACTTTATCAGGTCGAGGTAATCATCCTCGAAAAATATCAACTAGAAACATTGCAGAACATATTTACACAAAAGTATCGTATAACTGTTAAAACAAGGACTTCTACTATTGTTTGGTTAAAAAAAATGGATTTACCATTATCACAAAAAAAGCTTGACGTAAAAATTCAGGATTTATTTTCCTTTCTATTTCCCATTAAACTAAATCGAGACTTTCAGTTAGAAAAATAAGGGTTTTTTGAAATTGCACCGTATTTAATTCCCATTTGACAAAAGTCGAATGCTTATATAGTTTCGCCACCGAATATCTGGGCGGGTAAACAACGTTGTACTTGTCCCATCACTGACTTTGACTCGGAGCGGAAAAAGCGAAACCGTGACTCCGAGAATTTGCTTTCGCTGGATGTCGTTCGATGCCCTGCCCGGCAAATCAATTGATATTCATAAGGCGGTGTGGCGAGATCCAGTAACTGCCCGCGTCGCTGGAGTGCTTGAACTCTCCGAACTGAACCAGCGTCCAGATCGAACTCGGAATGGTTCGCGCCCACTGTGCTGGAATCTGGAATCCGCTCGGCCGGTACAAAGTGCAGTCTTTGTCCAGTTAGCGGCATCTTAATTGCTGCCGGCCAGCAAATAGCAGTGCGCATTGTGCAAGTGGCCAAGTCACGCCCCCACTACCGCCTCCGCTGGGCCGACGTGTCTGTCTATAATTTCCTGATCTGAAGTGTTGATTAACGGGCGAATTGTTAATTGCATGAATCTCGCTTTTTAATGTGTTTTGTTTGGCCCCTAATGCATTGGCAATTACCCTGTAGTGTGCTTAGCGTACAGGCTGCGCTGCACTAAGAAATGTATAGGTATATTTAAGTCTATTTGCGGAGTCTGCCGTTCCGGGGCTTGCGTCAAGATCAGTGGTATTACCCTTTGGAAATTGTAAGGCCTGGGTCAGCAGTTGGCTGTGATTTAAACACACCTCGGGCTGTCAGTAATTTACATTCCACTAATATGTATATCTTTTAGTCAACATCACTACTCAATTCTCATTACAGTTTGGCCAACAACAACCATAGTCTGGACTAATCCCATTGCTAGCATCACAGAAACAACAAACACAAGCGACAACAAAATGGCAATCGTACTGCAAGAAGCCCAGGAGTGGTATCGGGACCTGATGGACAATAAAAGCGGTAAGACCGATCCTGCTAGATTTGCAAATTGGAACTCCTCTGACGGCATTTTTGTGTTTTACAGATCCTCGCGTAAACGACTTCTTTCTGTTATCCTCGCCACTGCCGACACTCTGTATGTGCGTATTCTATGCCTACTTCAGTAAATCTCTGGGTCCAAGGCTGATGGCCAAGAGAAAGCCAATGGAGCTGCGTTCGGTGTTGGTCGTTTACAACGCGATACAGACCATATTCAGCGCGTGGATCTTCTATGAGGTAAGTGAGCCTATCCCTTCCTTGCCTCTGATCTAGGTTTAATCCGTGCTGTCCTCCTTTGCAGTACTTAATGAGCGGATGGTGGGGTCACTACAGCTTCAAGTGCCAGCCCGTAGACTACAGCACCACTGGTCTGGCAATGCGGGTAAAGTCGCCCCAAGGACTCTCCTGAGAAAGTAAACTAAAATTCCGTTATTCCACCGTCTAGATGGTCAACATTTGCTGGTGGTACTACATTTCAAAGTTTACCGAGTTTTTCGACACACTCTTCTTCATTCTGCGGAAGAAGAACGAGCACGTCTCCACACTTCACGTCATTCATCACGGCTGCATGCCTTTTTCGGTCTGGATGGGTCTCAAGTTTGCGCCAGGTACGTTCAGACATCGCGTTTAGAGGATAACAAATCATCTATTTATTTGCTTTGCAGGCGGTCATAGCACATTCTTTGCCCTTCTCAACTCTTTCGTGCACATTGTAATGTACTTCTACTACATGATTGCCGCAATGGGACCGAAGTACCAGAAGTACATCTGGTGGAAGAAGTACCTGACCACCTTCCAAATGGTACATCCAAATACACCCCCTTTCTGGCAGTCCCCTAAACGATTTTCTCCTTGTCTTTCAGGTTCAATTCGTGGCCATCTTCACTCACCAGTTCCAACTGCTGTTCCGCGACTGTGATTACCCCAAGGGCTTCATGGTTTGGATTGGACTGCACGGCGTCATGTTCCTGTTCCTGTTCTCCGACTTCTACAAAGCCAAATATCTCAATGCCGCCCGACGTCGCCGGCAGGCCGTCAAGGCCAAGGCCAATGGCCATGCCAACGGCGTGCATTCGAATGGACACACCAGTCATATCGGAGAGGGGGACGCCCTGGTCGCCAACGGCAGCAATACGGGGGCTTGCATGGTAGGTCAACTGTGGCGCAGTTGGGGGACATCAGAGCAGCCTTTGAGAGCCATTAGTCGTGGCTGTGCAAACATATTTACTTGACTTACTCAAGGCCCTGCTGACTCGATCTCGACTTAACCGAAAAGGTCGAGCCAAGATGCGAAGCAAAGTCGGGAGAGCCGAGTCGGTGTGGGCAGTTGTATCATCATAATTTTGTTGATCAACTTAAAATTCTAACTAGCTAAGTTAGGCAAATAGCACTTGCGAACTCTCAGCAAAGGCGGGGGACGTTTCAATTAGCGCTCGCATGTGAAGCCGGATGCGAAGGCCCAAGCCCAAGCCCAGTCCCAATCCCCATCCCCATACCTATCCCCATCTACTGGCCATTAGAAAAGCACACAAATAAGCATTTACTGGCGGCACACACGTGCCATCGGCCATTGGAGTCTGAACCCGAACTCATTGAACATTTTGCGTTCTCTTTGCAGCCTGTGATGGAGGACGAGTACGTAAAGAGCAACGGGCATGCCAATGGTGCCTACAAGGACGGCTTTTTCAAGGAGGGCGTGTTATCCAACAACGATGCCATCTTTAACCCGGACAGCAGTAGTTCTAGTCTGCACCAGCGCAAAGTCAAATAACTACTGATTAGGTGTACTACGATGATATTCATTATGTTTATGTTAAGTGTTTAGCGTGTAACTGAACCAGATTGAAGAACAAGACAAACAAGAAACTTGGCAGAAGTAGCAGATGCAGTATGGCAATTGGCACCACATCAAGGCAAAATCAGGACCACTCGGTTAATCAATTGTTTTTAGTAATTTATATTTTAAATACGGATAATACATAAAATCAGTTATGTCGAAAGTCATTCGGATAAGTCGAATCTTACCGAACAAAAGCCACCTATGCCCACCCACCCGAACCGTCGTCAACTAAAGCTAAGTAGGAAAAGCAGCGGCAGCACAAACTAAGAGATATTCGAACCCGTTTATAAACCTTTTGTATGGCACCAGTTTACAAGTCCCTTTTGAAACACAGATGCAATCACTAGTACACAGAGGAAAAGTTATTTTTTGAATGATATTTATGCAGCCATTGAAGCGTGTTCTAAACTAGCGTCCGAAACCATTTACCATTTTGAGTGTAGCTTACTGCATACAAACACCTGCAAAAAAACATACATACTCACTCTAGTTGTAGAATTTTTTATGGCAATTTTTGATATCAAATTGAGACGTTATGATAAACGATAGCTAAACATGCTCTTCTAAGTCTGCTTTAAACTTAAAGAACACGTTATACTATTTGTAGCTTGTTTTTGTACATTGAGAGGAAGGCATGTTTGTTGCAATACTTTGTAAAGGTCTAATAGTAAAACTTATTTATATATTGTAGCTAGCTAGCCAATTGCAAAATGTAACACGACCCAGACCTCCCTATCGCCTCACAGGCACTAAAACAACTAGACGGACGACAAGACGGATCAACACACATATAGTCAGGCAAAACAGAACAACAAAGAACACATGGAGATAAAGCTTTTATACTGTAAGTGAAAAACGGCTTAAGGAACAGACAATCAGTTTAGGCGTTGGTTGGTTGCCAACATTGAAGATGGATTGGTGTGAATCGGAACAAACGTTGTCAACTATTCATATTTCATTGAACCTCGTTTTGGTGTGGCTCTTACGATACTTTATTACTACTTATACAATATCTCCCTGTTCCCACATTTGGTTTGAAGTTGTTAAACGGTTTTATTTCAGAGAATTAAGAAGTATTTGTGACGAATTATTTGTAAGTGTAATTCTGTCTGTTAACCTGTGCGTATTGGTTTCATTGTTAAGTTATGTGGTTTAAGCTGACAAGTTCAAAAACTATGGAAAACCTGAATAAAGCTTATTAATTTATATTAAAACTGACCAGAAAAATATATTTATCGGTGAAGTGATCCAGATTTGAAAGCAGGTTATGTGAACTTCCCTTAAAAAAAAAAAACTTATTTGTCGATATCTGGGGAACGAACCCGTCAATATTAATTTCGGAGTTCAGCGGCCTAAGATTTATAAAAAAGGTAGGTTATTTAAAAGGGGGAAAAAACCCATTACATTTTGTCGATCAGTGTAATTGTATAAATAATTTTACAACAAAATTATTATAATTTTAGTCCGTTGTTTGGAAAGCAATGAAGAAGACAGTAATTACGTGAAACAATGATTTGGCAATATTAATATTGAGATGCAAAATCTTCTGCGCATTTCAGTTTAATAACGTGATTATTTTTTGTTTTGTGCTAGGTACTTGTCGATAAGGTCAAGTTTTTACATTTGTAATACACTTGCAAAGGGTATTATTATTTTTGTCATAAGTTTGCAACGTAACTAAGTACACATCTCCGAACATATAAAGCAAGGACACGTCTATGCACTCGGAGACCATTTGTTTTTGCAAATGCCTTTTGACAAAATACCCACAGCATGTTAAATTTAATTTTATTTTGAAGGAAAAGGTTTGCTTGTATTTAGGGCTTTTGCAATAGATTGTAATGGGCACGCCATTAATTTAAGAAAAAACAAGAAAGGAAAGCTAACTTCGGGCGGAGCCGAAGTTGATATACCCTTGCAGAATTCTCTATAATAATATTCTCCAAAATTATTCCTATGATGCATTCTTAATACTCATAAAAAATCCCAACTTCCTAACTTTAAAAACACCAAAGTTATGGCATTTCGAATCGTTCAGTTATATGGCAGCTGTAGGATATAGTAGACCGATCCTTATGAAATTTGGTAGGTCGGATTGATTGGCCAAATATAAAAGCCATAGAAAATCCCAACTTTCTAACTTTACAAACACCAAAGTTATGGCATTTCCGATCAATCAGTTATATGGCAGCTATAGGATATAGTCGGCCGATCCTTATAAAATTTGGCACGTCGGATTGATTGGCCAAATATAAAACCCATAGAAAATCCCAACTTTCTAACTTTACAAACACCAAAGTTATGGCATTTCCGATCAATCAGTTATATGGCAGCTATATGATATAGTCGGCCGATCCTTATGAAATTTGGTAGGTCGGATTGATTGGCCAAATACAATACCCATAGAGAGTCCCAACTTCCTAACTTAACAAACACCAAAGTTATGGCATTTCCGATCAATCAGTTATATGGCGGCTATAGGATATAGTTGGCCAATCCCTGCCGTTCCGACTTATATACTGCGGGCAAAGGGACGAAGGGTGTGTGCAAAGTTTCAATTCGATATCTTTAAAACTGAGAGACTAGTTCGCGTGGAAACAGACGGACGGACAGACGGACAGACAGACGGACAGACGGACATGGCTATATCAACTCAGGACGCAATAAATCTTCTAGGAGCAATTCGTTTGCAGAAACCATCATGCAGGGCCTGAAAAAAGGCTGTTGGGTGAATATCCTTACCAAAGTCCTTCTTATCATTAACTTTGATACGTGTTGAGGAGATCTGGGGATTGACATTGTCCTTTTATACGATCCCTACGTTTTCCTGGCCAATAAAAGCCATGGATTGGCCATGCGTGCCCTGCATTTTGCAACTGCGTAAGTCCTTTCAAATTACGCAAAGGGCTCCGAATGGAAAAAATGGCTTCTGGGCATCCTTTCTTCAATGTTAACATTGGATTTGCATTGATCCTGCTTATTAAATTTTAATTTTTGGACACATACGGTTGATTTTATTTTTGTAAAGTCAAACAACTTTTCCTTTATTTTAAGGCACTAAAACAATTTTAGCAATAAAATATGTTTTTATTCCATTAAGATTATACAGGCAAATATGATCATTTAAAAAAAGTGGCCAAATCGATAAAGTTTTAACAAAATAGTTAATTAAAACCCAAGTGTGCCAATAATTTTGTTCAGGGAAATTTGGTTCATTCTTTGGTTTTTATACCCTTGCAGAGGGTATTATAATTTTGGTCTAAAGTGTGCAACGCAGTGAAGGAGACATCTCCGACCCTATAAAGTATATATATTCTTGATCAGGATCACCTCCTGAGTTGATATAAGCATGTGCGTCTGTCCGTCTGTCTGTCCGTCTGTCTGTTTCTACGCGAACTAGTCTCTCAGTTTTAAAGATATCGAATTGAAACTTTGCACACATCCTTCTTTCCTTTGCACGCAGTATATAAGTCGGAACGGCCGGGATCGGCCGACTATATCCTATAGCTGCCATATAACTGAACGATCGGAAATGCCATAAGTTTGTTGTTTGTAAAGTTAGGAAGTTGAGATTTTCTATGGGTTTTATATTTGGCCAATCAATCCGACCTACCAAATTTCATAAGGATCGGCCGACTATATCCTATAGCTGCCATATAACTGAACGATAGGAAATGCCATAACTTTGGAGTTTGTAAAGTTAGGAAGTTGAGATTTTCTATGGATTTAATTTTTGACCAATCAATCCGACATACCAAATTTGTTTTTGCAAATGCCTTTGGACAATATACCCACAGCATGTTAAATTTAATTTTATTTTGAAGGAAAAGGTTTGCTTGTATTTAGCGCTTTTGCAATAGATTGTAATGGGCACGCCATTAATTTAAGAAAAAACAAGAAAGGAAAGCTAACTTCGGGCGGAGCCGAAGTTGAAATACCCTTGCAGAATATTCTGCAAATTATATTCTCCAAAATTATTCATATGATGCATTCTTAATACTCATAAAAAATCCCAACTTCCTAACTTTAAAAACACCAAAGTTATGGCATTTCCAATCGTTCAGTTATGTATATGGCAGCTATAGAATATAGTCGGCCGATCCTTATGAAATTTGATATGTCGGATTGATTGGGCAAAAATAAAACCCATAGAAAATCCCAACTTCCTAACTTAACAAACACTAAAGTTATGGCATTTCCGATCAATCAGTTATATGGCAGCTATAAGATATAGTCGGCCGATCCTTATGAAATTTGGTAGGTCGGATTAATTGGCCAAATATTAAACCCATAGAAAATCCCAACTTCCTAACTATACAAACACCAAAGTTATGGCATTTCCGATCAATCAGTTATATAGCAGCTATAGGATATAGTCGGCCGATCCTTATGAAATTTGGTACGTCGGATTGATTGGCCAAATATAATACCCATAGAGAGTCCCAACTTCCTAACTTAACAAACAGCAGAGTTATGGCATTTCCGATCAATCAGTTATATGGCAGCTATAGGATATAGTCGGCCGATCCCGGCCGTTCCGACTTATATACTGCGTGCAAAGGAAAGAAGGGTGTGTGCAAAGTTTCAATTCGATATCTTTAAAACTGAGAGACTAGTTCGCGTAGAAACAGACAGACGGACAGACAGACGGACAGACGGACAGACGGACAGACGGACAGACGGACAGACGGACAGACGGACAGACGGACATGGCTATATCAACTCAGGAGGTGATCCTGATCAAGAATATATATACTTTATAGGGTCGGAGATGTCTCCTTCACTGCGTTGCACACTTTTGACCAAAATTATAATACCCTCTGCAAGGGTATAACAAGAAAGGAAAGCAAACTTTGGGCGGAGCCGAAGTTGATATACCCTTGCAGAATATTCTGTAAATTATATTCTCCAAAATTATTCATATGATGCATTCTTAATACTCATAAAAAGTCCCAACTTCCTAACTTTAAAAACACCAAAGTTATGACATTTCCAATCGTTCAGTTATATGGCAGCTATAAGATATAGTCGGCCGATCCGTATGAAATTTGGTAGGTCGGATTGATTGGCCAAAAATAAAACCCATAGAAAATCCCAACTTCCTAACTTAACAAACACCAAAGTTATGGCATTTCCGATCAATCAGTTATATGGCGGCTATAGGATATAGTCGGCCGATCCTTATGAAATTTGGTAGGTCGGATTGATTGGCCAAATATAAAGCCCATAGAAAATTCCAACTTCCTAACTTTACAAACACCAAAGTTATGGCATTTCCGATCAATCAGTTATATGGCAGCTATAGGATATAGTCGGCCGATCCCGGCCGTTCCGACTTATATACTGCGTGCAAAGGAAAGAAGGCTGTGTGCAAAGTTTCAACTCGATAGCTTTAAAACTGAGAGACTAGTTTGCGTAGAAACAGACAGACGGACAGACGGACAGACAGACGGACAGACGGACAGACGGACAGACGGACATGGCTATATCAACTCAGGAGGTGATCCTGATCAAGAATATATATACTTTATAGGGTCGGAGATTTCTCCTTCACTGCGTTGCACACTTTTGACCAAAATTATAATACCCTCTGCAAGGGTATAACAAGAAAAGAAAGCTAACTTCGGGCGAAGCCGAAGTTGATATACCCTTGCAGAATATTGGTTGTCCAAAAATAAAACCCATAAAAATACCAACTTCCTAATTTTAAAAACACCAAAGTTATGGCATTTCCAATAGTTCAGTTATATGGCAGCTATAGGATATAGTCTGTCAATCCTTGTGAAATTTGGTAGGTCGGATTGATTGGCCAAATATAAAACCTAAAACTTCCTAACTTTACAAACACCAAAGTTATGGCATTTCCGATCAATCAGTTATATGGCGGCTATAGGATATAGTTGGCCAATCCCTGCCGTTCCGACTTATATACTGCGGGCAAAGGGACGAAGGGTGTGTGCAAAGTTTCAATTCGATATCTTTAAAACTGAGAGACTAGTTCGCGTGGAAACAGACGGACGGACAGACGGACAGACAGACGGACAGACGGACAGACGGACATGGCTATATCAACTCAGGACGCAATAAATCTTCTAGGAGCAATTCGTTTGCAGAAACCATCATGCAGGGCCTGAAAAAAGGCTGTTGGGTGAATATCCTTACCAAAGTCCTTCTTATCATTAACTTTGATACGTGTTGAGGAGATCTGGGGATTGACA